TTTTGTCCCTTGGTGTTTCTCAGTGCTACCCATGTGCAACTCCCCCTTCTTTTCCCTTTTTTCAGTCCTTCCTAAATACTGAATACCCCGGGATATTAAGTTCTCATCTCTGGTCACCCAGCAGCCATGCCTCTGTAATCCTGACTGTAGTCCTATCATATCTGTTTTTATGTATTTATGCAGTTAATTCATGCATTTTATTTTGAATGCTCCACACATTAAAGCACAATACACCAAGCCTGAAGGCTTGTCTTTTTAACATTACTTATCTGATTCTCATTATTTTTCATTTTGTTCCTGCGTGATGCTGGCCCTTGATTACTCTTTCTGTGACATTTTTATTCCCCTTTCTGTCTTTTATTTTGCTCCTCTGACACCTTACTGCTGCTATTCTAATTTAAAGCCTTCTCAACCACTCCAGCAAATACTAATTTGACTGACTGGTGGTCACCCACTCCCTTCTTTGTTCCAGTTCCTTGACCACCTCTCTGAAACACAGAGCATGAGTTTCCGCAGTTGGGAGCACTTCCTGCGCACATGGTCATCCTGGATCCTGGTAGGGTCCTTGACTTTCCACATATGACATCTAGACACTTAAAGTGCCAAATCCATTATTACTACTTAATTATATTCTACTCTTTATTTTTCTGTCACATTGCATTGTGCATTGCATTTGCCAGCTTAGATTTCATTTAAATTTGTCTGCTGAGTTGAAAGCTGTAATTCCTTCTCCAAATCTAAGTGCATTGAAGGCGGGTTATTTTAAACTCTATCATCAGATGAAAGAGTGTCTTACATCTTCGCATTCTGCCTGATTTTCAGTGAAAAAAAATTCAGGTAAGATGCAAAGTAAGCTGCTGATTTATAATCATAATTTTTCTTTTGTTCAGCAAGAGATGCTATCATTGCCCTCCGTGATTTTACTGTTCTTTCTATTTAGTTGATGTTATGAGTTGAGTTCAGGAACCACAAAGGAAAAGAGACCCAGATGGGAGCTGTGTACAGGCCTCATAGCAGTAGTCAGGTGGTGGGGAAGAAAATAAATCCGGAGATGGAAAAGGCATATAAGAAATGCACTGTTACAGTAATCATACAGTAATTCAATATGCAGGTGGACTGAGAAAATCAGGGTGGTAACGGATCTCAAGAAAAGGAATTCGTGGAATGTCTACGAGATTTATTTTGGAGTAGCTTGTGGTAGAGCCCACTAGGAAGCAGACAATTCTGGACTTAGTGACAACAAGGTGCAGAGCTGGATGAACACAGCAGGCCAAGCAGCATCATAGGAGCAGAAAGGCTGACGTTTCGGGCCTAGACCCTTCATCAGAAATGGGGGAGGGGAAGGGGGTTCTGAAATAAATAGGGAGAGAGTGGGAGGCGGCTAGAAGATGGATAGAGGAGAGGATAGGTGGAGAGGAAACAAACAGGTGGAAGAGGCGGGGATGGAGCCAGTAAAGGTGAGTATAGGTGGAGAGTTAGGGAGGGGATAGGTCAGTCCAGGGAGGACGGACAGGTCAAGGGGGCGGGATGAGGTTAGTAGGTAGGAGATGGGGGTGCAGCTTGAGGTGGGAGGAGGGGATAGGTGGGAGGAAGAACAGGTTAGGGAGGCGGGGACGAGCTGGACTGGTTTTGGGATGCGGTAGGGGGAGGGGAGACTTTGAAGCTTGTGAAATCCACATTGATACCATCGGGCTGCAGGGTTCTCAAGCGGAATATGAGTTGCTGTTCCTGCAACCTTCGGGTGGCATCGTTGTGGCACTTCAGGAGGCCCAGGATGGACATGTTGTCTGAGGAATGGGAGGGGGAGTTGAAATGGCTCGCGACTGAGAGGTGCAGTTGTTTATTGTGAACAGAGCGTAGGTGTTCCACAAAGCGGTCCCAGAGCCTCCACTTGGTTTCCCCGATGTAGAGGAGGCCACAACGGGTACAGCGGATGCAGTATACCCCATTGGCAGATGTGCAAGTGAACATGTGCTTGATGTGGAGAGTCTTCTTGGGGCCTGGGATGGGGGTGAGGGAGGAGGTATGGGGGCAGGTGTAGCACTTCCTGCGGTTGCAAGGAAAAGTGCCGGGTGTGATGGGGCTGGAGGGGAGTGTGGAACGGACAAGGGAGTCACGGAGAGAGTGGTCCCTCCGGAAAGCAGATAAGGGTGGGGAGGGAAAGATGTCTTTGGTGGTGGGGTCAGATTGCAGATGGCGGAAGTGTCAGAGGGTGATGCGTTGGATCCGGAGGTTGGTGGGGTGGTACGTGAGGACGAGGGGGATTCTTTTTTGGTTCTTATTGCGTGGACGGGGTGTGAGGGATGAGTTGCGGGAAATGTGGGAGACACGGTTGAGGGCGTTCTCGACCACCGAGGGGGGGAAGTTACGGTCCTTGAAAAACGAGGACAACTGAGATGTACGGGAGTGGAATGCCTCATCCTGGGAGCAGATACGGCGGAGGCGGAGGAATTGGGAAGAGGGGATGGCATTTTTGCAGGAAGGTGGGTGGGAGGAGGAGTATTCTAGGTAGCTGTGGGAGTCGGTGGGCTTGAAATGAATATCGGTTTCTAGGTGGTTGCCCGAGATGGAGACAGAGAGGTCCAGGAAGGAGAGAGAGGTATTAGAGATGGTCCAGGTAAACTTAAGGTTGGGGTGGAAGGTGTTGGTGAAGTGGATGAACTGTTCGAGCTTCTCGTGGGAGCACGAGGCGGCGCCGATACAGTCATCAATGTAACGGAGGAAGAGGTGGGGTTTAGGGCCAGTGTAGGTACGGAAGAGGGATTGTTCCACGTAACCTACAAAGAGGCAGGCGTAGCTTGGGCCCATGCGGGTACCCATGGCCACCCCCTTTGTCTGTAGGAAGTGGGAGGAATTGAAAGAGAAGTTGTTGATGCCACCCGAAGGTTGCAGGAACAGCAACTCATATTCCACTTGGGAACCCTGCAGCCCAATGGTATCAATGTGGATTTCACAAGCTTCAAAATCTCCCCTCCCCCTACCGCATCCCAAAACCAGTCCAGCTCGTCCCCGCCTCCCCAACCTGTTCTTCCTCCCACCTATCCCCTCCTCCCACCTCAAGCCGCACCCCCACCTCCTACCTACTAACCTCATCCCGCCCCCTTGACCTGTCCATCCTCCCTGGACTGACCTATCCCCTCCCTAACTCCCCACCTACACTC